ATAAAAAACTCTTAAGTGAGTCCTCCTCACTTCTCTTCAGCCTCATTTATACCGTACGCAACGCAATAACGCAATTAGCTAAGCAAAATGGTGATCCTGTGTAGTTGCGTCAAGTTACAAATTCCGGGGCTACACACATTTGCGTAAGGCAGTGTTTCTTAGTTCTGGTCCTGGGAATCCAAAGGCGTGTCCATTTGAATTTTTGCCTTAGCACTACACACCTTGTTCCACTAATCAACTAATCATCAAACATTTAATAAGTGTCATCAGGTGTCTAGGGCAACAACAAATATGTGCACACCTTTGGGCCGTCAAGACCAGGATTAAGAAACAGTTTAGGAATGAATTTGAGAGTTTTGTAATGATTTGCTACTAACCTGTAATAATCTTTCCCAGAACTGCATGTGCTGTGAACACATACATATTTACTCAGGAGATGAGTCAGAGTATACAGTGGGGGGAAAAAGTATTTAGTCAGCCACCAGTTGTGCAAGTTCTCCCACTTAAAAAGATGAGAGAGGCCTGTAATTTTCATCATAGGTACACGTCAACTATGACAGACAAAATGAGAGAAAAAAAATCCAGAAAATCACATTGTAGGATTTTTTATGAATTTATTTGCAAATTATGGTGGAAAATAAGTATTTGGTCAATAACAAAAGTTTCTCAATACTTTGTTATATACCCTTTGTTGGCAATGACACAGGTCAAACGTTTTCTGTAAGTCTTCACAAGGTTTTCACACACTGTTGCTGGTATTTTGGCCCATTCCTCCATGCAGATCTCCTCTAGAGCAGTGATGTTTTGGGGCTGTCGCTGGGCAACACGGACTTTCAACTCCCTCCAAAGATTTTCTATGGGGTTGAGATCTGGAGACTGGCTAGGCCACTCCAGGACCTTGAAATTCTTCTTACGAAGCCACTCCTTCGTTGCCCGGGCGGTGTGTTTGGGATCATTGTCATGCTGAAAGACCCAGCCACGTTTCATCTTCAATGCCCTTGCTGATGGAAGGAGGCTTTCACTCAAAATCTCACGATACATGGCCCCATTCATTCTTTCCTTTACACGGATCAGTCTTCCTGGTCCCTTTGCAGAAAAACAGCCCCAAAGCATGATGTTTCCACCCCCATGCTTCACAGTAGGTAAGGTGTTCTTTGGATGCAACTCAGCATTCTTTGTCCTCCAAACACGACAAGTTGAGTTTTTACCAAAAAGTTATATTTTGGTTTCATCTGACCATATGACATTCTCCCAATCCTCTTCTGGATTATCCAAATGCACTCTAGCAAACTTCAGACGGGCCTGGACATGTACTGGCTTAAGCAGGGGGACACGTCTGGCACTGCAGGATTTGAGTCCCTGGCGGAGTAGTGTGTTACTGATGGTAGGCTTTGTTACTTTGGTCCCAGCTCTCTGCAGGTCATTCACTAGGTCCCCCCGTGTGGTTCTGGGATTTTTGCTCACCGTTCTTGTGATCATTTTGACCCCACGGGGTGAGATCTTGCGTGGAGCCCCAGATCAAGGGAGATTATCAGTGGTCTTGTATTTCTTCCATTTCCTAATAATTGCTCCCACAGTTGATTTCTTCAAACCAAGCTGCTTACCTATTGCAGATTCAGTCTTCCCAGCCTGGTGCAGGTCTACAATTTTGTTTCTGGTGTCCTTTGACAGCTCTTTGGTCTTGGCCATAGTGGAGTTTGGAGTGTGATTGTTTGAGGTTGTGGACAGGTGTCTTTTATACTGATAACAAGTTCAAACAGGTGCCATTAATACAGGTAACGAGTGGAGGACAGAGGAGCCTCTTAAAGAAGAAGTTACAGGTCTGTGAGAGCCAGAAATCTTGCTTGTTTGTAGGTGACTAAATACTTATTTTCCACCATAATTTGCTAATAAAATCATTAAAAATCCCTACAATGTGATTTTCTGGATTTTTTTCTTCTCAATTTGTCTGTCATAGTTGACGTGTACCTATGATGAAAATTACAGGCCTCTCTCATCTTTTTAAGTGGGAGAACTTGCACAATTGGTGGCTGACTAAATACATTTTTTCCCCACTGTATACATTTCATTAGTTCTTAAGAGTAATATAGAATTTCAAACTTTTCCTCCCACCAGGCATAACATTTGTTTGTCCGGATGAGACAGACCGAAAATCTGTGGTGAAGAAACTCCCAGGTAAAGGCTCCCACCTGGCTTCATCAGCTTGTCAGATGGCATTTATTATTATTATTATTATTATTATTATTATTATTATTATTATTATTATGTTCAGTAGCTAAGCAAATGATTTGAGATGTGCATGGATGTTAGATGACTTTTCACATGTGCCGGACTCAGACTCCAGACCACATATACCCCCTGGCAAATTTCTGTCCCTCATAATGTTTCTCCCTCTGTCATTTCTGACTGTGCTTTCAAATAACAATACAAAATAAGTAAGGAGGTCGGGACCCTTAAATCTCCTTAAATAAAATAAAAAAAGACTTTTCGCAATACTGAACCAAGCTGAGCCAAACCAAGCTGTACTGAGCTGGCCTGGTTACTCATCTCCATCGTAGTTGCTGGAACCGTACTGAAAGGGACAATGTGAAAAGAAAAGATCAGAGCCAGCGCAGTCTGGTTCCATTCAGCACGATAGTGTGAAAAGCATATACCTGTGCCAAAGGTCTTTTCTCATTGAGCGGCTGGAAATGAAAGAAAATCGAGTTAACACCCTCGATACCTGTGTCGAATTATAGTAAGATATCATTTACATTTTAGTCATTTAGCAGACGCTCTTATCCAGAGCGACTTACAGTTAGTTTACTAGGCAATAGGACACGTGTTGGACGTGTTTGAACAGTGTGTTTTGGCCTCTACAACCAACAACTGCAGACTTTGGAATGTTTGCACTTGTTAGGCAATGTTTTGGTCAGTATGCACACTGCATAAAGTTGTCTTCTGTTGACCACAGGCCCACGTGAAAATGGCATGCCAAATCATGAAGTGTTGTTTGGATAAGTAGTTACAGTGAGGGAAAAAAGTATTTGATCCCCTGCTAATTTTGTACGTTTGCCCACTGACAAAGACATGATCATTCTATCATTTTAATGGTAGGTTTATTTGAACAGTGAGAGACAGAATAACAACAAAAAAATCCAGAAAAACGCATGTCAAAAATTGTATAAATTGATTTGCATTTTAATTAGGGAAATAAGTATTTGACCCCTCTGCAAAACATGACTTAGTACTTGGTGGCAAAACCCTTGTTGACAATCAGAGGTCAGACGTTTCTTGTAGTTGGCCACCAGGTTTGCACACATCTCAGGAGGGATTTTGTCCCACTCCTCTTTGCAGATCTTCTCCAAGTCATTAAGGTTTCGAGCCTAATGTTTGGCAACTCGAACCTTCAGCTCCCTCCACAGATTTTCTATGGGATTAAGGTCTGGAGACTGGCTAGGCCACTCCAGGACCTTAATGTGCTTCTTCTTGAGCCACTCCTTTGTTGCCTTGGCCGTGTGTTTTGGGTCATTGTCATGTTGGAATACCCATCCACGACCCATTTTCAATGCCCTGGCTGAGGGAAGGAGGTTCTCACCCAAGATTTGACGGTACATGGCCCCGTCCATCGTCCCTTTGATGCGGTGAAGTTGTCCTGTCCCCTTAGCAGAAAAACACCCCCAAAGCATAATGTTTCCACCTCCATGTTTGTCGGTGGGGATGGTGTTCTTGGGGTCATAGGCAGCATTTCCTCCTCCTCCAAACACGGCGAGTTGAGTTGATGCCAAAGAGCTCGATTTTGGTCTCATCTGACCACAACACTTTCACCCAGTTCTCCTCTGAATCATTCAGATGTTCATTGGCAAACTTCAGACGGGCCTGTATATGTGCTTTCTTGAGCAGGGGGACCTTGCGGGCGCTGCAGGATTTCAGTCCTTCACGGCGTAGTGTGTTACCAATTGTTTTCTTGGTGACTATGATCCTCCCGTGTAGTTCTGGGCTGATTCCTCACCGTTCTCATGATCATTGCAACTCCACGAGGTGAGATCTTGCATGGAGTTCCAGGCCGAGGGAGATTGACAGTTCTTTTGTGTTTCTTCCATTTGCGAATAATCACACCAACTGTTGTCACCTTCTCACCAAGCTGCTTGGCGATGGTCTTGTAGCCCATTCCAGCCTTGTGTAGGTCTACAATCTTGTCCCTGACATCCTTGGAGAGCTCTTTGGTCTTGGCCATGGTGGAGAGTTTGGAATCTGATTGATTGATTGCTTCTGTGGACAGGTGTCTTTTATACAGGTAACAAGCTGAGATTAGGAGCACTCCCTTTAAGAGTGTGCTCCTAATCTCAGCTCGTTACCTGTATAAAAGACACCTGGGAGCCAGAAATCTTTCTGATTGAGAGGGGGTCAAATACTTATTTCCCTCATTAAAATGCAAATCAATTTATAACATTTTTGACATGCGTTTTTCTGGATTTTGTTGTTGTTATTCTGTCTCTCACTGTTCAAAGAAACCTACCATTAAAATTATAGACTGATCATTTTTTTGTCAGTGGACAAACGTACAAAATCAGCAGGGGATCAAATACTTTTTTCCCTCACTGTACACTTATCAACTGTTTTCATACTCTTCAATAATTTTGTGCCAATGGGAGATCATGCATGTAAGATGTTAATGAAATGCCACAATCTGTGTGTGACCTGTGTAAGGGCAATTGAAGTAATGGTAACCTATTGCATTTTACAAAAGATATTCAGCGGTCACTCCACTCTTTTGATGTGTTTTAGATTCCATGATCGTTCAGAAAGTGAAGGGGCTGCTCTACAGACTGCTAAAGATACCGGGTGCTGAGTTGAAACTCTCCTACACTAGCTCAAAGGTAAAGGGGTTTACTGACAACAGCAACTGCCCTATACTACCTTAAAGGTAAAGGGGTCTAAATAGGCTAGGTAAAATGGTCTTACTCACTTAGACTTGCCCACAGTTTAGTTTTACTTCTGTGTTGGTGTAACCATACTCGTCCACTGCCACTCCTAGGTGAATCTGTTAAATAGACCAATGGTACAGTCCCACTTTCTTAGCGGTGGAAGGGACTCCCTAAAACGGCATTTGTCTTTTTCACAGATGGAGGGCAAAGAGATTGAGATTGACAACGACCTGAAACCGCTGCAGTTCTACTCCATCGAAGACGGAGACAAGGTCCTTGTCCGCTGGTTGTGATCCGCAAAGGTCCGGATTGGTTGCCTGATGACTCAAACTGAATTATTCCGCTTCCGTGGCGTAGCGTTTGGCCGGAAAAGGAGTTTGGGTAGCCAGGCAACCGGATTGGAAGTTTAAGCAATATTCCGAAATCTATGAGAAAAATGTACAGCACTAAGACTGGGACAAAAACACAGCGCAGCTCCTATTCAGCCAGAGGAGACCAATCGATGTAGGAGAAGGAAACACAGGGTTGTGTTCATTTGGCACGAAACGGAAGATAACTGCCCAAAATGGAGTGAAACGGGATGGGAACATTTGAACTTGTCCAATAAGAGATGCTAGTGTCGTGTGCCCTAATGAACACAACCCAAGTGTGCACTATGTGAACAATTTGTGTATTTGTATTTATTAGGATCGTATCAACAGCTTACATCATAAATAAAACAATTCATCATACAAGACATTTACTCTTATTACTCTCACTCAATGAGGCACCGGGCAAAAGAGAACTAGTAGACATTTAGGCCCACGAGGGCTGGAGTTTCCCCATCCTTGAGCTGTGGTACCTTTCATAGCTTGGCCTTTAGTGAATTAGCAGCAGATAAGGTGGCAGGTGGGGTCAAATTAACCTTCCAGCAAATATAGCTCTGAATATGTGTATATGATCCTACACTAGGGCTGACCCCATTTAGTTGATTGTTTGGTCGATAGGCTGTTGGTCGACCAAGATGTTTTTAGTCGAGCAGTCGCAAATAATTTCCTTTTTTTCATGCCACATGAGACACCTGTATGATTGGCACCTGTCTCAGTGGACTAATCCATTGAGGAGGCCACAGGGATGCCACGGTCCAAGAAGAAAGGGAGTGTGGCGAAGATGCACAAGGCACATCTCTCTCTAGAATGCGCTCTCTCCCACCATTTCATGCGCATTCATTGCTTCATAACTTTATTGTGTGAATTGTTTGCCCATTGATTGTTGGTGTCTATCAATTCCCCATTACATATCACTAGTAGTCGCCTACATTTACCGTTAATTCCCATAATTTCTAATTTACAATGTTTCTTTGGTTACTGTAATTCCTGTTAATGCATTCAATATATTATTTTTACAGTCGTTTACCGTTCTCATTGTTGGAGTGTACACGTTTGCAGAGCTCACAACCTATGCTACACTTGTAAGAAACACGTTTTGGTTTATTTCATTCCATTTATGAGTTTTGTCAATTTAATTCATTGTCTTTTGTTTGGAGCGCTCCTGTCAATGTTGAGTAAGGACGCGCACCTGATTACGCATATAGAAGTACACCCACTGTAAAATAAAAAGGTTCCTGGAGGCACTTTTAGGGGTTCCTCAGATTGCCACAACGGCAGAACCCCTAAAGGTGCTTCCAGGAACCTTTCCCTGTAGGAACCTTTTATGTCCCATGTATTATATTAATAATAATAACAATACAAATAACATTGAGTGACAAACTTGTAAAGTCACAAATGAATTTGATTGACTTTTAAAGTCACAGAAATCTCACTAGCAGATATCACAGGAATCTCTGGTCTCCCGTATCTCTCTCTACAGCAAAAAGTTTGCCATTCATACAACATTTGTTGGTAATTTATCCCCTCATCAATTCCCAGAAGACATTTCTGAATGAACAGCATTGTGCCTTTCACTCAATATTAGAAAGGAAATGCATCCCCAGTGCCACTCCCAATCCCATGGAGATGTCCTCCGGCTCTTCAGTGAGTAGCGCCTCTCCATCCAGGAAGAGTTGGATTTGGCTCTCATCCGTAAACGGTTTTCCCCTCTCTTCTTATGGTAGGTGATGGAAACTTTACACACTGTAAGAAGTAAAAATATATATAATTAAAGTTACTCAAGTCATATTTCAAACAGTAAGTTAACTGAGCACAGCAGACCTTACACGGTACTACTAACTTTGCATTTATTTGTCTGCTGGGAAATACATATCCTGTCTGTGACGTACAGCTCACTTGGATCTTCTTTGAAGAGGTAGGGGAGGGGCAAAATGGCTGCAGTGACCTTGAGACACTGGCTGGATTAGAGTCAATAGAATTAGAGTGGCTGCATAATGTAAAGGGTACATTTTACATTGGAGAAAAAAACCTTTCTGAGCCTCATCCGTGTGTGAGAGAAGTGCCGTCTTGTAGAGATTCAGCAACTCTCAGTTTCTGCAATGATTTTGTCGGCCATTGTGCCGAATCCGGACAGAATGTTTCTGTCCACATCCATACTGAATTTGCTTCCCATCTCTGAGAATCTAAAAGTCAATTTGTTTGTAATGCATCATCAATATATCTTGGATTCAGATTACAGCACTTGGCTATGCTACATTAGTTGTGCTTTTTACCATTTCTTTCTGTTAGACTTTACAATGGCTGACAAATGGAGTGCTGGGTACTGTTTTAAGATGTCCTTGGTGCCTTGTTCATTAAAAAGTTATCTATTTTTCAGTCCTTTTCATTTTGTCTTGTAGGGAAGTTATGTTCACTCTTTTTTTGGCACTCCTGCATCTTTTCAACATGTAACTTCTGACTGAAAGAATCCTCACCAATCTCAATCTGAAAATCAAATCTAAATATCAAATATTGATACATACAGCATCAAAAACGAGTTCTGATCTAGGATCAGGTCCCCCACCTGTACAATCTTATTTATCATCTTAAAAACTGATCTGGGATCAGCGGTTCGACTGACTATGGACCATTATTTTCTATGCAGATACCTTGGCTATTTTGGTCGGGTCTTCATTTTCGGTGTCCCTCTGGACTTATTTTTCCCTTTGCCTCCCAAACCGCTTCTGCATTTCCTGTACTTGTGCAACGTGAGCAAGCGGCTGCCTTTCCTTTTTGTATTTATTCTTTATCAGGCCGTGCCATGACTCCTTAAAAAAGAAAATGTGGAGAGGATAAATGTCGTGATGGATTATTGGGACTTACTGAGGTCAGAAGAGAAGACTAGAGATGGGCTTGTTACGCTGCTGGAAATGTGATAGAATAACAATGTGAGAAGAAGAATATATCCAAGCCAGCACATTATGGTCTGGGTAGGCACAATGGTGTAAAAAGGTTATTAGTGTGTGAATTAATGTGAGTAGGAAATTTGAAGAATTCTTACATATCCCTTCCCTGTGTGGTCTCGCAACGAGGGGTACTTTTGAATGAGCGCTGTGCACACATCCATGTATTTCCGGGTAATGGATTACATAAAGCAAAAGAGAAACATAATTTACAAGATTACATTTATACTAACAATTCTGTTTGTAATACAAATGACAGTGATTGATGGCGTTGATTATCATCATGTAAAAGTTGAGTATGTGATATGCAATCAGCTGCCGTGATTAAGACCGTATGGAGAAGGAGACCGGAGAAGGGCTCAGGGTGACACACACACAAGCATTATGATTCATAACTGAGGAACTTATATCAATAACATTGAGCTAAGATCAGTTCACTACATACAGTGGGGAAAAAAAGTATTTAGTCAGCCACCAATTGTGCAAGTTCTCCCACTTAAAAAGATGAGAGACCTGTAATTTTCATCATAGGTACACGTCAACTATGACAGACAAATTGAGAAGAAAAACAATCCAGAAAATCACATTGTAGGATTTGTAATGAATTTATTTGCAAATTATGGTGGAAAATAAGTATTTGGTCACCTACAAACAAGCAAGATTTCTGGCTCTCACAGACCTGTAACTTCTTCTTTAAGAGGCTCCTCTGTCCTCCACTCGTTACCTGTATTAATGGCACCTGTTTGAACTTGTTATCAGTATAAAAGACACCTGTCCACAACCTCAAACAGTCACACTCCAAACTCCACTATGGCCAAGACCAAAGAGCTGTCAAAGGACACCAGAAACAAAATTGTAGACCTGCACCAGGCTGGGAAGACTGAATCTGCAATAGGTAAGCAGCTTGGTTTGAAGAAATCAACTGTGGGAGCAATTATTAGGAAATGGAAGACATACAAGACCACTGATAATCTCCCTCGATCTGGGGCTCCACGCAAGATCTCACCCCGTGGGGTCAAAATGATCACAAGAACGTTGAGCAAAAATCCCAGAACCACACGTGGGGACCTAGTGAATGACCTGCAGAGAGCTGGGACAAAAGTAACAAAGCCTACCATCAGTAACACACTACGCCGCCAGGGACTCAAATCCTGCAGTGCCAGACGTGTCCCCCTGCTTAAGCCAGTACATGTCCAGGCCCGTCTGAAGTTTGCTAGAGTGCATTTGGATGATCCAGATGAGGATTGGGAGAATGTCATATGGTCAGATGAAACCAAAATATAACTTTTTGGTAAAAACTCAACTCGTCGTGTTTGGAGGACAAAGAATGCTGAGTTGCATCCAAAGAACACTATACCTACTGTGAAGCATGGGGGTGGAAACATCATGCTTTGGGTCTGTTTTTCTGCAAATGGACCAGGACGACTGATCCGTGTAAAGGAAAGAATGAATGGGGCCATGTATCGTGAGATTTTGAGTGAAAGCCTCCTTCCATCAGCAAGGGCATTGAAGATGAAACGTGGCTGGGTCTTTCAGCATGACAATGATCCCAAACACACCGCCCGGGCAACGAAGGAGTGGCTTCGTAAGAAGCATTTCAAGGTCCTGGAGTGGCCTAGCCAGTCTCCAGATCTCAACCCCATAGAAAATCTTTGGAGGGAGTTGAAAGTCTGTGTTGCCCAGCGACAGCCCCAAAACATCACTGCTCTAGAGGAGATCTGCATGGAGGAATGGGCCAAAATACCAGCAACAGTGTGTGAAAACCTTGTGAAGACTTACAGAAAACGTTTGACCTGTGTCATTGCCAACAAAGGGTATATAACAAAGTATTGAGAAACTTTTGTTATTGACCAAATACTTATTTTCCACCATAATTTGCAAATAAATTCATTAAAAATCCTACAATGTGATTTTCTGGATTTATTTTTCTCATTTTGTCTGTCATAGTTGACGTGTACCTATGATGAAAATTACAGGCCTCTC